TCCCTTGTTATTCTCGATGCTTCTGCCAATGATCTCTCTGGACCAATCCCAACAGACTTGGGGAAGCTGGTGGTTCTCGAACAGCTTCATCTCTCCGATAATTCGCTGACCGGAGCAATTCCATCCCAGCTCAGCAACTGCACCAGCCTCACTGCTCTTCAGCTTGACAAGAATCAGTTGTCAGGTACAATTCCTTGGCAGGTTGGCAATCTCAAACTCTTGCAGAGTTTTTTCTTGTGGGGCAATATTGTATCGGGAACTATACCAGCTTCGTTCAGCAACTGCACTGAGCTCTATGCACTTGATCTCTCAAGAAACAAGCTTACCGGGTCGATCCCAGAAGAGATTTTCAGTTTGAAGAAGCTGAGCAAGCTCTTGCTGTTGGGAATTCTTTGTCGGGCGGGTTGCCACAAAGCGTTGCACATTGTCAATCTCTAGTCAGGTTAAGGCTTGGGGAGAACCGGCTTTCAGGACAGATTCCTAAGGAGATAGGCCAGCTGCAAAACCTCGTGTTCCTCGACTTGTACATGAATCATTTCTCTGGAGGATTGCCGTTTGAGATTGCCAACATCACAGTTCTTGAACTGTTGGATGTGCACAACAACTATATCAGTGGCGAAATCCCGCCTCAGCTTGGGGAGCTTGTGAATTTGGAGCAGCTTGATCTTAGTAGAAACAGCTTTACCGGAGAAATTCCTTGGAGCTTTGGCAACTTAAGTTACTTGAACAAGCTCATTGCCAACAACAATCTACTCACGGGTACGATACCAAAATCTATCCGGAACCTGCAGAAGCTAACTCTGCTGGATTTGAGCTTTAACAGCCTCTCCGGTCCAATCCCACCCGAAATTGGTCGAGTGACAAGCTTGACAATCAGTTTGGACTTGAGCTCCAATAGTTTTACTGGAGAAATCCCAGAGACAATGGCGGATTTGACGCAGTTGCAATCACTGGACCTGTCGCATAATATGCTCTATGGAAAAATTAAGGTTCTTGGTTCTCTAACTAGTCTCACTTCCCTGAATATTTCCTGCAACAACTTTTCGGGTGCCATCCCAGTTACACCATTTTTCAGAACTCTTTCTTTGAATTCATATTCTCAGAATCCACATCTTTGTGAGTCTGTTGATGGGACTACTTGTTCATCAAGTCTAATGCAGAAGAATGGTTTGAAATCCGCAAAAACTGTTGCCTTAATTACTGTAATTCTGGTGTCAGTAACCATAGCAGTTGTTGCCTCATGGGTTCTTGTTGTGCGAAATCATAGATATATGGTAAAGAAATCTTTAGGAGCAATGGCAGCCTCGTCGGGGGCTGAAGATTTCTCGTATCCATGGACTTTCATCCCATTTCAGAAGCTCAATTTCACCATTGATAACATCTTGGATTGTTTGAAGGAGGAGAATGTGATTGGAAAAGGTTGTTCTGGAATCGTCTACAAGGCCGAATTGCATAATGGGGATTTGATTGCGGTGAAAAAACTGTGGAAAACGAAGCAAGAGGAAGAACCGATAGACTCTTTTGCTGCAGAGATTCAAATTCTTGGACACATTCGCCATAGGAACATTGTCAAGCTCCTAGGTTACTGTTCAAATAGAAGCGTCAAGCTGCTTCTTTATAACTACATTCCCAATGGTAATCTGCAGCAGCTATTGCAAGGGAATAGGAACTTGGATTGGGAAACTCGGTACAAGATTGCAATCGGATCAGCTCAAGGTTTAGCATACCTTCATCACGATTGTGTCCCGACAATTCTGCACAGGGATGTCAAGTGTAATAACATACTGCTGGATTCAAAGTATGAGGCCTATCTGGCAGATTTTGGTCTGGCAAAGCTGATGAACTCCCCAACTTACCACCACGCAATGTCGAGAGTAGCTGGCTCTTATGGTTATATTGCCCCAGGTAAAACTAGCTACTTCAGTTTTTCTAATTAGTTGTCACATTGGTTTTATGAGAGTATTTGTGTAACAATCTGTGTTCAACTAATAATCTCAATCTATTACAATCGCAGAGTACGGATACACGATGAACATAACAGAGAAGAGTGATGTCTACAGCTATGGTGTGGTTCTGCTGGAGATCTTAAGTGGGCGTAGCGCTGTTCAGCCACAGATTGGTGACGGGTTACACATTGTTGAATGGGTGAAGAAGAAAATGGGAAGCTTCGAACCAGCAGTATCAATACTAGATACAAAGCTCCAAGGCCTACCGGATCAAATGGTGCAAGAGATGCTGCAAACACTTGGAATAGCAATGTTCTGTGTAAACTCGTCGCCTGCAGAAAGACCAAGCATGAAGGAAGTGGTGGCATTGCTAATGGAGGTTAAGAGCCAGCCTGAAGAATGCGGAAAGACCTCCCAACCCCTAATAAAGCAATCTTCAAACCAGACTTAATTAGTTTTAATCCTTTTTCGAAACATTCCAAGGACAATTAGCGATTAATTTTCTACAACATAAGAGAACAGTATCAGTGAGGGGATTCATGGGTTTGAATGGTGATGGTTTTAGATTTCTTGTACAGTTTTGAGAGGTTAATCTGGTGAAATGCTTCAAATCACACTTCCCCCGCTTTTCTTGCTTTAATTTTTTTTACCATGCTTTCATTCTTGAGGTTATTTCTTCTCTTTACCGACCGAGGAGGGAAATTTAAACTCGAGACACTTTTCAACACTGAAAAAAGAAATACTACGAACTAGAAGTATGCTTATTATGACAGAGAGGTTATGTCATAACATGCATGTTCACTAATTTTTATCAGCCATAAAACCTTATTGACCTTAAATTGAATACATATTCTCAATGTTATGTTGCATAAAGAACAAATTCTCAGCCTCAAGCAATAGGCAAGTAAAAGGGTATTGATTTCCACACCCGTTGTCTCTGAGTACACTCTTTATTTTGTCATGAATTTCTTGCTGATTCTCTCTGTATTTATTCAATCTCTATTGAAAAGAGAGAGTACAAGATAAAAAATGGTGTACCAAGTTCACTTCAGAAAAATGTGTCACATATGGCAAACAATATCAGAAACGTGGGGGAGGCTAGGAAGGAAAGAATGGAAAGCATATTCCCCACATGCTTGCTAGACACAAGATTTGTCCCCCATCTCTCTCCATTTCTTTCCGCTTTGTTTTGCTACTTGTCACTTTGAACGTATTATAATAATTTGATGTTGAACTTGTTATCCATAAAAAATATAAATTAAAAAAAAAATACCATTAAAAAAAAAAAAAGAACTACTAAAACCTCATTGTACTAGCGGATGGTATTTTGTGTTGAAAATATTTGTGGGTTAATAAATGCCCACACAGTAATGTTGACTTGGGAAATGAATGAGGATTGTATTTTCAAATATGTGTGCTATAAATGTCAAGGTGTAATTATTACGCTTGTTTGGAGTTGCTCTATAAATAGAGCGCTCCCTGTGCTATCAAAATACACTGAGAAGAAGAAAATATCAATAACATCAGTATGTATCCCTCCCTCTTTTATTTGTCATCCCATTGTGTTATAGTTACAGTGAGATATTTTAAACCTATTTCGCTCATGTGATATCACCAGTAAAGGTTATCCTTCTAATTTTTGCCTATTTATAACATTTCGAACTTTTTAGAAATGATGGATTGTAAGTTATTAGTAAATATAATACTTAATCAAAATCAACCTTTTCTATGACCAACTTCATTATTATTATTTTTTTGGAAACTGGACCAACTTCAGTATTTAGTTAGATTTATCTTTGATGGTCTTCTAAGTCAAAATCAAATCTTCTAAATCCGGATATTATGGCCAAAAATACAATCCAGAAGAAAAGGTAACGCACAGCAGATTTCAAATGTGTGTACTTCCATAATTTCATCCTTATATTCTTGAACACAGCTTGTGTCTTGCTGTTGGGTTGTGTTGGGGTGGTGATTACTCTCCAATTGAACACAACCCAAACAAAACCGTCAAGTTTGGTGCAAAAGATCCGATGGACTAGATAACTCGCTATATTAATGGTATGTTTAAAGGCCGACTTTTAAATTTTTAAAGATGGAAAATGAATTAGTCATTAATGAAACTGCATTCCTTCAAAACCGTCTAATTTCTTCATTTTGTCTCGAGGGTTTGTTGCTCAAATGTGTGTGCATGTTTACTCGCAAAATAACAATAGATAAACTCATTACACCAAACTTTTGGTTATCAACTCATGCGGAAATTTGTCATTTGGTTGAAATAAGCCCCAAAGTGGATCCAAAAAGAAAACAAATGAAACACTGCCACATCAGTTAGCGTCTCTAGTACTACAATTATTCATCTATATGAAAACGAGAAAATTAAATAAAAGAGAGGAGCCAAACCACAAGCAAAGGAAATCCCTTTTGCAAGAGGCGCATCAAATTCTCATGAGAATCAAACAAAACACTACCTATCTGTTTTCAGGAAGTGCAGTGCATACCACAAACAGTATATCGTCGACAGATAACATGCTTGGTCTTTTGATCTAAAAATCCACCTGAGAACTTTTCATCAGCTCGGTTCAAGCCTCATGGCCAAATGATCACCGCAGAGAAAGCAAGAGCAGTACCTACCACAAGCACTCCAAGGCGTCGACTGTCAACGCCAATAACTGCAGATGGCAAGGTGTACCACTGTCCAAAAGATCATGCTGAGGAAGAGGTATCCATCAACTCAAGCCTCATGGCATGTTTGAAGTGATCAAGGCATCAAATCCATCATTTGCATTCACCTAACAGGATAGAAATCTAAATCTATCATTTGAATCAAACAGCTAATGCTCAGCATTCACTATGATTCAGACAATGAAACTGAAAATCCAATAATAATTTACGTTATAACCACGCTCATCACTAATAACATCTAGAAGATAAAAGATACACATTTGTAGAAGAGCCGCTGTCCCCAAGCGTTTTCCTTCCGTTTAAAACTTATTATTCAACAAATGAACAAGAAATATAAAGAAACATTTACTTAAGATATGGAAAGACATGATATATCGAATGACTTCTTTATTTTTGTCAACTAATTGTAGACATAATGACACACCAAAAATCGTCAAGGTGGAGGAGCAAGGTTACATTCAAATTTCGGTGCCTCCACAAATTGGGAGGCCTCCATACAGTAGTTCCAAGGACTAATCAAGATATCGCCCCATGTCCACCACATGAGAAACTCTGTCCTCTTCTGAAAACCGATTTCTTCGACATACTTGTTCCTAATTGCTTTCTTTCTCCACCTTCTTTTGGTCTCTTCTTTTCTCCACTTGTGGGTCTTAACTTCTGAAAGCAAAGGATAATAAAAAGTTGTATAAACGCTATTTCTAGATATCATATATATTTATCGAGATTTATCTGGTAACACCACAGTTGTTCTGTTTCTAAAGTGATGCAGGACAACAAGAAAATAATATAAATAGAGGATAAGGATAATAGATGACAGGAGAGAATATGGATTCAATAAGGGAAGGAGAAAAGTATATGGGTGGGTGGGAGAGAGAGGGAGAGAGACAAAACAGCATAAACTCTTATCTACATGCTCAAACAAAATGCTTGAAGTCTGAAAACCTATCAAAATAAGGCCTATTGACATTGCCAAATAAACTAAGCACCTGAAATTAATCAAATACTACAAAATAAGTGAGAAAAAGATAAATAAGTTTAAAATCTTAATAAACTAAAACCCTCAGCTTGCGCACCTATGCCCAAAATAACTCCAAATCTCATTAATGCACCGGCCATGTTTGAATCACAAAATGAAAAATAAAACAAAATGGTTTTAGCAAAATTAATCCATTCTAGCAACATCAGTGCATAAAGAGGAATTCCAGTATTCGTATAAAGCAGTGAACAATAATACTTAAGAAATGAGGTGACCCATCTCTAGAAAATTCTTCATAAGAAAATCTTAATCAGCCATTTAGGCTCTTGGTCCTTGGATCATCAATTACTGAGCATGAAAGTTCAAAACTTCACCAAGGCTTCCATTTCCGGTAACTACCAAGCAAATAGGTTTGGAGGAATGGAGAATTCTCTTGTGACTTGGAGGCTAGATTCATAAAGGACATAGTATATTAAAGGAAATCCTATATACTACCTTTGGTTTCTCTAGATTCAATGTTTTCCTTGAATTCATTATTCTTTAAGAATGTGTCTTAGGTTATACGATTTGGTACTTTATTTGACAGAGTTTTCATTTGAAAAAAAAAAAAATCAAGAATAATACCAAATTATCAAGGAAACTATTTCACAAAGGAAGAACAAAGGGAAAAGAAAAAAAGTCATTCACAATCAAAATTCAAGACATGATTTGGAAGAAAATATTATAAAACAAAGGATGAAAACAGAATCACTATCGTCAGGTAATTGCTAGCAGTACGTCAGTCAGGTAACTAGTCTTCTTGTTCTAACATTAGCCCTATCTGTATTATTGTATTTTTCTTTTTGGTAATTTCTGAACAAGAGTATTATAAGTTAAAGTTAAATTTCCTTGTTATATAGTTCGCAAATTGTGTCGAGATGAGACTTTCATTTCTTCCCCAGTTACATGGCAATCAATCAGAGGTTAGTATAAGTAACAGCAGTGCAGAGAAAGGAATTCTAATGCTTGTATTAAGCAGTGAAAAAAGAAAACTTCCAAAATTGGGTGACTCAGTTTTAAGAAAAAGCTTCATAAGAATCTTCATCAGTCATTTAATCTAACTGGAACAGAAAAGTTCAAATTTCAACAAGGCTTCCATTTCTTTGAGGATCGTGACCACCAACCTAAGCAATAACTGGAAGGGAGATACTGGACAGATCATTTCATTTGTTTTGTAATATGACTAACCTTTATGATAATATTGCCTACTGGTGGATCTCATTGCAAGGCCATATCTCATTACAACTCTCGAGTTTTTTCGGGGTCAGAATCTCACACAATTTAAACCCCAAAATATAATAAAAGTCGTATCACAAATGAGTAACATATTTACGAAATTCACATCCGCTTCATTGGTTTCATCTGCATTTTGTATATTTGATAATCACACAAAAAGGAAAGAAATAACTAAGGCATTGTTATACGAATCCTAGAATTTCTGAATGAACAGCAAGACGATTAACAAGAATGCAATTGAATTCATAAACTACAGACAGAGTACACCAATTTCCACAATTATTCAAATATTCATCCCTAATTTCTACTGCCACCAATGCTTTGCCTAAATATTCCTAAAGGGGAATAAAATCGGAAACACCTAAATCAAAGCAATTACCTAAAATTCATTGAAATAAGATAAAAAGGGAAAAGCCCCAAATCCACCAACCTTAAATTCACTCATTCAGCTGTTGAAGCTCAGCCTTCAACTGCTCAATCTTGAGCCCCATCGACCTCTGCAACGCCGCCTTATTGCTCTCCGGCACCTTAGCCAATAGACCCTCATACAATTCCAGCACTTCCTTCACAGAATCTCGAGCGCACTCGGCCTCCTCATCGAAGTAAACAGTCTCTTTGGACTCCATGGCCATCTCTATCTCCTCCCTCGCCTCAGCAAATTTGAGGTTGATCGTGTCCACCACTTGGTTCTGATCGAACTCATCCGACCCGCCGCTGAATTGCCTCACATTCCGGCGAGCTGCGAACTGGGTCGCTGAACTCGAGAGAGCTGGGTGGAGAAAATGGTGGGAATTTTTTGTAGGTTTGTTGAGAAGAATGTCGGGTTTCGGCAACGGAGGTGAGTCGGAAACTCGCTGAGCCGGACTCGTCGAGATTGAGTTGAGGGAGAAGAGCTTCGGCGCAGGGTTGGAAGAGTGGCGGAAGAGCAATTTGCAAAGTGCAATTTGTGAACGTTGATGATTCATTGTTGCTCTCCTCTCCCGACTTGCACAAACAACTAAAACCCCTTCCTCTCAAGACTCTCAACTTAACTAAACCCTATAAACTCTCTCTCTTCTTTTATCCCCGAGTGCACGATATTTGGTACGATTGGGGATAGTGCAGAGATATATTATATTTTAATATGCAATATTTAGCTATTTTTTTTTAACAAATGATATTATTTACATTAAGGATAGGATATGTGTTTAGTCTCATAATGAGCTAACAATAATGTGTTTCAAATTTACCTTTGGCGACCTCTCACTTACAAGTGAAGAGGAATATCACTAGATCGTACTATTAAGTAGCTCCATCATTTACACTTAAGCGATCAGATAAGTAGCTCCGGTAGTTGCATGGTGAAATTAAGGGTCTAGTGGTATATTTTAATATGCTCAATTGAGCCACTTAGTACTACGGTATAATAGTATTCATCTTCACTTGTAAGTAAGAGGTCTTTGGTTCAATTATCGCCAAAGGCAAATTTGAACCACATATTGCTAGCTCATTATGAGGCTAAGCCCACCCCCTCCCCTTTAGTGTAGATAATATCGCATTGTTCTAAAAATTCCCCGCCTAGACCCCACCCAGGCGCTAGGCGGCTAGTCACCGCCCCGATTAATGCCTAGGCATTTGAAAATTAAGAAAGGACACCTAGACCTACTTAGGCGTCCGGCTAGACTGCCTAGGCACCCACCTAGATTGTGACTTACTTAGACAGAAAATAGATAACTTTCATTTTGCATTTTATTTTTTTTCAATAAATTGTAAGAGACTTGGGGTGTATTTGTTTGGCTTCGTTAGCCTTCACTGGACTATACTATACTACTTATCAATCTAATCCATTGTTTGTTTACTTTTTTTTTTTTTTTTTTTTTTGGAAACTGGAAATATATTACTAGGGCAAAGATGCCTGAGAAGTACAAAGAAAGCCTACAACGAGACCAACAAGCAATAAAGCAACAAAACCTGGAAGCAGTGAGGGGATATGGAGGAAGACACTAGAACCAAATTCAAGTGTCTTCCCTACAACTGCCAACCATGGATCAATGGGGACAAGGTAAGCCGTCTTTATTTAGGACGTGAACTAACGAAGATGGTTGTCGGTTGACCCAAGTGATGTTGCACATCTCCGTACTACTGCGCGACAATCCTAAAAGAACTCCCCTACCTGTTTAACAACCGTTAGAGTTGGATAGGCCTCCCAGCTGCCAGTTTCCAAGGAAGTTGATAAACATGAAATCATATCCTTGGAATCAGACTCAAGGATTATCCATCGATACCCCAAATCCGTAGCCAATTCACACCCATGCAAAATAGCTAAAGCTTCGACTGTGGCAGCAGTAGAAGCATGTACCACAAACCTTACTGCAGCCAGAAACTCACCCCACTGACCCCTAATCACAACCCCTACAAAACCATGTCGAGATAAAGCAGACCAGCTAGTATCCACATTCACTTTAAGGAAGGGAAATGAAGAGGGAGACCAACGAGCCTCTAGAACTACCACCATGGATCATGCTGGCATGGAAAGAAAGGAAGCAACAGTGACATCGAGGAACACTACAGCTGAAATGGAAATGGCATGACAAACCTGTGTATGATTAATAGGAGATTGATTGAACAGAAATTGGCACCTAGCTTTCCAAATATACCAACATGTAAATGCAACATGAGAAAGTAAAATAGCATGTTATTCCTTAGACCCAAACCGCCTAGAAGCAATGGAATGAAACCAATCCATCCAGGAAGAGATAGCATGTCAATCAACTTTATAATTTAGAATGCCACCAAACCAAATGGGTTCCACCCAAGGGCATAACAAGAAGAGATGCTTAATAAATTCCACATCATCATTACATATCGGGCAGATAGGTGATGGGGCAGATTTACGAAAAAATAAATTCTCCAATGTAGTCAAGGCACGATGAGCAAGTCTCCACATAAAGTTACAAAGTTTAGGCGGAGTTCGCAACTTCCAAATAAATTTCCAAACCTGTGTGGATATAAAGCTAGAAGATGAGGGTCAACTATGCACCTGGGATCCCTGCAAAGATTGTGCCCAGTGATACCTAGACTTGACCATATACAACCCATTCTTAGTAGAATCCCAGACTGGGCGGTCATTTCTTCGAGAATCCTCAATGGGTGTGACCAAGATAGCATTATATTCCTCCACCGACAAAAATGGTTAAAAAAACCCAATATCCCAGGAACGGGAATTAGGACTGATGGGTGAAGCAACTTGAGTATCTCTAGTCACAGGCATTGCCCTGGGCATAGGATGGCCCAACGGAATGAATGGCAGCTAGCGATCCACCCATAAACGAACTGTAAATTCATCCATAATTTGCCAGTGCGACCCTTTCATCAACAAATCTCTACCCACCAAAAGACTACTCCAAGCCCAATAAGCCATACTCCCATGTTAAGCATCAAAGAAAGAACAATACGAAAAGTACCTAGCTTTGATAACCAAAACCCACAGAGAGTTCAGTTGTTGAATCAGTCGCCAACATTGTTTCGTAAGTAATGCATCATTAAAATCATTAAAGTTTTGAAATCACATGCCCCCTCCTTTCTTTGGAAGATCCAAAGTGTTCTGAGACACCCAATGAAGTTTCCGCTTCTCACCCACGATCCCCCACCAGAATCCAGAGATCAGAGAATCCAACTCATTGCATACTGTTACCGGGAACTTAAACAGATTCATGGTGTAAGCAAGAATGGCTTGGACAACCACTTTAATTAAGACCTGCTTGCCCGCTTGCGAAAGAGCAATTGGTGTCCACCCTTGTATTTTTCGCAAAACTCTACCTTTCTCAAAAGCCAGACCCGGCCGCTTGGATCTACCCCACAATGTAGGAACACCAAGGTATGTGCCCAGATTATAAACAACCTGCATACTGAGAATTTGTCCTAATTCCGTCGACATTGCCGTCGGCATATTAGCACAAAAAAACACAGACTATTTTTGAAGATTGATAGCTTGACCCGAGGCTGCACAATATTCTTTAAGAATTTTGACCAAATGGCAACAATTCCTTCTAGTAGCTTTCAAAAATAAAAGTGTATCATCGGCAAAGAAAAGATGGGAGATGACGGGAGCATGCTGATTCATCTTAATGCCTTCCAAATGTTTGATGTCAACTGCCGATTGAAGTCTCCAAGAAAGAACATCACTTACCAATAAGAACAAATACGGAGATAAAGGATCCCCTTGGCGTAATCCTCGGGGAGGAGCAAAGTTGTTTCCCAATTGGCCATTAAGAAGTACCACAAAGTTAACCAAGTGCACACATGCCATAATAATCTTCCGCCAACAAGAATGAAACCCCATCTTTTCCATCACTGCTTCAAGAAAATCCCACTCCACCCTGTCATATGCTTTAGACATATCCAACTTGATACCAAAATCAAATTAACTCTTAGCTTTCCTAAGTTTAAGAAAATGGAATAGTTCATAAGCAATCCCAATATTTTCCTAAATTTGTCTACCACCCACAAAAGCATTCGACATGGGAGAAATGAGATTTGGAAGCAGCGGTTTCAATCGATTTACTAAAACCTTAGCCAAGATCTTATAAGAGTAATTACATAAGCTAATCGTGCAAAATTGAGATACCGATTCTGGATTGGGAACTTTTGGAATTAGCACAATATGAGTGGCATTTAATCGGCTAAAATTAACATCTCCAGATTCTAACATCCGAACCAGAGCATGAGCATCCTCACAAATAGTTTCCCAAAAGGAATGATAAAACACACCTTGAAAACCATCAGGTCCTGGAGCCTTGAGACCACCCATCTGCATCGTTGCTTCTTAAATCTTCACATCTGATATTGGAAACAGCTCATTCATAATGTCAAAGACTGAAGTAGGTACAGTTTCCAAAATAGTACCCTAATTCCTAGTTCCTTCAGAAGTGAAGAGATTGAGAAAATAGGTATCAATCAGCTGCTTTACCCGATGAAGCCGTTCCTAACTACCATCTTCTTTTTTAAGCTTGAATACATGATTCCTCCTCCACTGTTGCATGGTAGATTGATGGAAAAACTTAGTGTTTGCATCACCTTCCATAAAGCCATTTAAGCCTCGACCGTTAGCACCAAACACTTTCCTCCTGCGCCGACAACTTATCAATCAATTTTGCCTTTTCATGAATCTCAGCAACATGTGCACCCCAATCTCTTTGGAGCTCACCAAGCTCGGATGTTAACTTCTCTAGTTCTTGCTCTCTTTATTTGAATTTGCTTCTACTCCAACGAGTGGGTTAAGAACAACAGTCATTAAGTCTTTTGAGCCAACGGTCCAAAACCATACCACCACAAGGACAAGCCCAGCATTGTTCCACCAATCTTTTGCATTCCTCTTGACACGCCCCGCCCCCGATATTCCCCAAATACCAGGATAGGCACGTGCTAGCCGACAACCGAGGGTGACGAAAGCCATTTATTGAGTGCAAATGCGGAAAACAAGGGATAAATAAGGCTTATAAATATAAAAGAATAATGAATATGCAAATAAGGAACGTGTTCAGAGCACACCTCTAATCTAGAACACTAAAAGAAAATAATATAAAATTGAATGAAACCAAGGAGTGGGTCCTACACCACGAGGACTCGAAGATGCCGATGCGGAAGTGCTTGGACGTCGGGATTGTATGCCTCGATTCTAAGTCCTGAAGGGGGTGCAAAACAAACATGAGTGGACCAAGTTGATATATATATAATAAAACAGTTATTAACATACTAACCCCCAGGTTTTATGAAAACACAAATATAATGATAAACATAGGTTTTCCGAAACCTAGCATGTCGTGCAATGTCTCAAATCATAATTCGCATAAATAATAAACACTAGTGAATGTCCCATAACTCTTCAGGCCCCATGCCGGCTCCGCGTCTCTGAGCAGACAGTCAGAGGAAAATACACTTCAGGCCCCATGCCGGCTCCCCGTCTCTGAGCAGACAGTCAGAGGAAAACACACTCCAGGCCCTATGCCAACACCAAACCGTCGTCCGAGACGGACCGGATCTATCCCTACGTCCCGTAGCGAAAAGCACCACTAGGTAAGTATAAAA